CTTTTAATAGCCTTGCTATTTCTAGAATATGCACTGACATTAAGATGTCTTTTGCTGAGAAAAGGGACTCTTTCTTGCCACACCCAATGTATTTCCTCTACATTAAATTTTCTCTAGCAAAGTAAATGAGTTCTACTTACAAGAAACTGAGGAGAATAAAGATTTCAGACAACATTTTGAGTTACAGTTGTCATGGGAACATTTTTTCTTTCTTTCTATTTTAATCTTTGGGGCATGTGAAATGAGAGCTTACTGGTGTAGTGTAGTGGTATCTTATTATCTTAGTTACCTCAGATTCACAAGAGAGGAGCCTGAAAAATCAGTGTTTGATTAGTTGCAACCAGAGTTTAGAACTCACAATCATGTTCATAATTTGGTTCCAAAGTTTAAGGGAGCAATAAAGATTTGGGGTTGGTTTTCATATTTTGGGTTAAAAAACACATTTTTAAAAATTGCACTTAGCAAAATGCAACCAAATTTTAATTTTTTATTATCCACTGTCCTCGGGAAATAGAAGTTTTATAGCAAAATTTGTACCCTGGTCTTTCATATTCTGCATATCTGTAGAAAATACATCTCTGGTGACTATTCATTAAGGGGCAAATAGTCATCACCTTATCACCAAGAATTTATCCAGTGCATGGAACTCATTTATCCCTCAATTTTCTAATACTTCTTACTCTCTTTTCTTCTTTTTCTCCATTTCCTTCTTTACATACTTTTTTTTTTTATCTTTTCTTTCCATTTGATTTCCCAGTTGTAACATTGTGATTTCTTCACAAATTTGGTAGAATTATTGCAAATTTGAATTATGTTCTATAATGAATACTTTCAGATAGAAATTAGAATTACTAGAAGAAACATTGAAAATGGTGAAAAAAAAGAAAAAAATTTTGCATTTATCTTAAAGTAATATAGCTCTTTAATTACAATTTTCTATCTTGGCTGAAAGTTTTAGCTAAGTATTTGCTAGGCCTCACTCATGGATATGAAACTTAATATTTAAGAAATATAAGCACCCTTATGTTAGATATTTATAAAATAACTTTAGCTATATATGAGTTATAATAAAGGGTAATTATAGCACAAGTAGGATTAACATAATCACAATTCTTTCATTTGTGACGTTAACAGCATCTAATAGACTGTGTTTAAATTGTTTGAGCCACTATGAAATTTAAAGTTCTGGCCACAATGAAATTTGAAGGAGAAAAAAAAGATTTACTTAATGTCCCACATAACTTTTGGCTTAAGTATAGTTCTTGGCATTCTAATTCTTTGAAAATAAACAATACTATCACTAATCAATAATCGATTCACAGCTACGTCAATAACTGAGGAGTATAATTTTTCTGGTTTAACTTTTTGATTCCACACAGTAAAATCAGATTATACTGATTATGTAGTCAAAGGCAATGGTCATTATATTTTTAAAAATCTAATCACAGTCTGATCCTAATCCAAATGCTCAGCTCCATCTTCCAAGCCTAACCACTTCTAAGCAACCCATTTATGAGCTGCAATGAACTTGGGCTCCATTCTCAGACCTACCACGGTGCCCCTGCTCTGGGTGTGGCTGTAGAAAGCCCTGCTCTGGCCATCTTCCCTGGGACCAAGGAGGCATTCGCCCACAGAGCCCAGGCCTTCACCCTTCTAGACCCAGAACTCTGAAACTCTGAAGCCCTGGAATTCTCTTCCTCAAGTGTCCTAAGCCCTTTTCAAGGCCAGAGTGAGGCTTATCCCTGGAGCAGATGGACAGTGAGGTGTTCATCCCCAGGCTCCTTGTGTCTACTCTTCTGCCCGAAGGCCAATCAAAGTAGGGACAAAGCTGTAAGGAGAAAGGGGAAGGTGCTGAACACAGCTGGGGCCTCCATGAGTGCTTTTGCTTGGCCTCCGCATAAATCATGGAATGAACCTGTGTGTCATTTTCCCAAACCCACAGTGCTCTTTTGAGTTTAAATGTCTTTATACCTACTTTTCTCCAAGCCTGAAATTGCATTTCCCCTCACTCCTGGTGATGTCCTCCAGATCCAATTCCACTTCCTTTTCAAAAATCTCTGTGACTTCTCTAGACAAATTAGCTGTTCTCTCCTTTGGTTTACTAGCATGTTTTACCACCATTTTCTACAGAACTTAACATACCTGACTATATTTATTTACATATTTGTCTCCTCATGAGAAATTTGAGGACAGCAAGACTTAACTTCAACTAGCCATTAATGTTTAATAAATGTGTGTTGAATGAAACGCACTAAATGCATCATTTATTTATAAATTGGTCACCAAGCTCATCTGTCATTCTAAAATTCTTTAGGCTAGGTCTTAGGATAATATCATGTTTTTATTAATGTAAAGGAACAGAATCGTAAATTCAAAATCAGCTTAAAATATTTCCCAAATGTGACTATTCCAAAATTCCAACTATAAAGACAAATATTTGACATATAATGTAATCCTTGATAAAAACGGATGCTTATATGTGGTGTGGCTTTAAATGGAGAGGGATGTCCACAACGAAAAACATGACCAAGAAAATATGTCATGCTTACACATTAGATGCATCCATTAAATCAGACATTACTAAGTACATAAAGCCACAACTCTAGGCAGTCCTATCCTAGAGTAATTCAAATCAGTGCATTTATTGTAGCTTGCTCCTGTACAATGCAGAGAATTGGAAAGAAAATTAGATGAATTTCATGATCCTTGTTATTTAAAACACTTAAGTATATACCTAAATTATGCAGCATAACAGAAAAAGAAAGTAAAAAAAAGAATGTAATGTAAATATTTTTAAAAGCCTCCCTTCGTTGCTCAAAATTTTAGCAAATACTTAATAGCTTGAATTTTGTCATTTTTAATAGGTACTAAGCACTTTCCAGGCAGTTTACATGTGGTAAATTGTTTAATCCACACAAGAATATTGTAGGTGGAAACTGAGCAGCAGAATACTTAAGAACCTTGACCAAGGTCACGCAGTTAGACTGGGAGCAGAACTATGGCAGTCTGGGAGGTAGAAAAGTTGTAAGCTGAAAGTCACTGAAATGTATATGGTAACAGGGGTCATTAGGGGAAATTATGGGTGGAGAGCACGTGGTCAGTTAGAACGGAAGAGAATGAATCCCAGGGAGACCAGCATTAAAGGGACTGGGCAAACAGAGTTGCCCACGCAGGAAATGGAGCAGGTAACACCAAAAATGTTGAAGAAACTCAAAGAATTGATGTTCCAGAAACCAAAAGAGGGAAGGATTTCATTAGGGGAGCTCAATAATGTCTATCAGACCTTATAAACACACCATCCAAGTTGGCACAGAGAGGTTCCTATTTGTATTTAAAAAGTCTTTGTCAGACAGTTTAGATGCAAATTAAAGCCAGATTTGGCGAGCTGATAAATGAATGGAAGGCGATGATGTAGCAGTCAGAGGAAGGGTGTTGAAAAGAGAGAGAGACACAAGGGTGAAGCTTGAGAGATAGGGAAGGTTACAAAGTTATTCTAACACGTGGATATTTTCCACTTTCTTGAAAAGGGAGAATGGTCACATAAAGAAATTTTAAATAAGGCAGTTTTGTCAAGCCATTGGCTTCCAACATTTTCATAAAGCAGAACATAGGTTGCTGCAGATCCTTTACGCTTAGTGTTTGCTCAGCAGCATCAGCAACTCCTGAGAGCCAGTAAAAAATACAGAAATGCAAACCCCACTCCACCCAGAATCTGTGTTTTAACTTGGTGACTCAAATGCAATTTAAAGTTTAAAAAGCACTGATCTAGATTCCACTGTAGATAACTCAAAGGAAAACGTTATCTACTAAAATGTAGTTTAAAGTTGTTTTAATTTGCTTTGTAGACACACCAAAGACACATCTAGTTTGTTTGTAAATATCAGCATCGTTCTTTTCAAAACCCAGTAATTAACTAGTTTCAAATTATACTTTCTATTTCATGTAATGAGCATCTTACTCTTAAATTAGAGTGCTATCACATCCACAGATTCTATAGCTTCACCTGGGTGTGGCATCCTCTACAGACTGCAGTGTTCTATAGCCTTCTATAATTTAATGTTATATTTAATTTCCAAAAGTGTTTTATGAACTTCACTCAATGCTGGTGTTTACTTTCCTCAAACCTGCCCCTGTATGTGTCATCAACACATTGTGGGAGAGTAAATAAAAGTATTTGGTGGCTTCATTTTATACAGTATGTAGCAGTAGCAATGATAGCAGAGAATGGGAAACAATCTAAGAGCCAGACAAAGATTCCAACAAGAGAAACACACACACACACACACACACACACACACACACATACACACACACACACACACACACACGGAGGCAGTCTTTGTTTGCATGATTCCAATATATACAAATGCACTTACCATGATTTATTTAAAAGTCTGATGCTCTACCGACTGAGCTATCCAGGCTCCCCTACCATGATTTATTTAAACACCACCAGTCTCCAGCAGTATGATTCCAATTTCAATGACCACAATATATTAACTGGAAGTAACACTTGAAGGTCAAACGTCCCAACTAGCTCTTCAGTCAACAAATCACTACCTTAAGAATTCATGGGAATTGTATTCATGTCATTTCTTTCAAAGTCTGTTGGTGATTGGTTGTTGTCCTTATGTTATTCACTGCACATACAGACAGAAAAGCATGTGATTATGTCTCCCCCTTGTCTTCCATTGATAATCCCACATGACATTTTACAAAATAGATAAGCAAAAGAGAGAATTGGCCAACAAAGATGAAATTACAGCAAACAAAGAAAAGTGTTGACACTGGACATGGAATTAGAACGTTTCATCAAAGGCTGACCATGGGAATGTGGATCCTGCCACCATTCCAGAGACGCTAGACATGTATCCATAAACACTTAGTGAAAGAGAACTTACCAACATAAATGAGGAAAGTGATTGTGATGAAAAGAAAGAAAATGTCCCAGAGGAAGAGGTGTCAGAAAAATATTCACATTAAAAAAAATTCTGGCTCCTCTAATTGGGACTCCGAGCCGGGGCTATTTCTGGCTCTGGCGCCGCTCCAAGAAGGCATCCGCATTTGCTACCAGCGGCGGCCGCGGCGGAGCCAGGCCGGTCCTCAGCGCCCAGCACCGCCGCTCCCGGCAACCCGGAGCGCGCACCGCAGGCCGGCGGCCGAGCTCGCGCATCCCAGCCATCACTCTTCCACCTGCTCCTTAGAGAAGGGAAGATGAGTGAATCGAGCTCGAAGTCCAGCCAGCCCTTGGCCTCCAAGCAGGAAAAGGACGGCACTGAGAAGCGGGGCCGGGGCAGGCCACGCAAGCAGCCTCCGGTGAGTCCCGGGACAGCGCTGGTAGGGAGTCAGAAGGAACCCAGCGAAGTGCCAACACCTAAGAGACCTCGGGGCCGACCAAAGGGAAGCAAAAACAAGGGCGCTGCTAAGACCCTGGAGAAGGAGGAAGAGGAGGGCATCTCGCAGGAGTCCTCGGAGGAGGAGCAGTGACCGTGCGTGCCGCCTGCTCCTCACTGGAGGAGCAGCTTCCTTCTGGGACTGGACAGCTTTGCTCCGCTCCCACCGCCCCCGCCCTTTCCCCAGGCCCACCATCACCACCGCCTCCGGCCGCCACCCCCATCTTCCACCTGTGCCCTCACCACCACACTACACAGCACACCAGCCGCTGCAGGGCCCCCATGGGCTGAGTGGGGAGCAGTTTTCCCCTGGCCTCAGTTCCCAGCTCCCCCGCCCACCCGTGCATACACACATGCCCTCATGGACAAGGCTAACATCCCACTTAGCCGCACCCTGCACCTGCTGCTTCCCCACTTCCTTGGTGATGGGGACATTGCTCTCTGGGCTTTTGGTTTGGGGGTGCCCTCTCTGCTCCTCTACTGTTCCCTCGGGCTTCCCATAGTGGGGCCTGGGAGGGTTCCCCTGGCCTTAAAAGGGGCCCAAGCCCCATCTCATCCTGGCACGCCCTACTCCACTGCCCTGGCAGCAGCAGGTGTGGCCAATGGAGGGGGGTGCTGGTCCCCAGAATTTCCCCAGCCAAACTCTGTCACCAGAAGACATACGTGAGGCCAACAAACATATGAAAAAATGCTCATCATCCCTGGTCATCAGAGAAATGCAAATCAAAACTACATTGAGATACCATCTCACGCCGGTTAGAATGGCGATCATTAAAAAATCTGGAGACAACAGATGCTGGAGAGGATGTGGAGAAATAGGAACACTTTTGCACTGTTGGTGGGAGTGTAAATTAGTTCAACCATTGTGGAAGACAGTGTGGCGATTCCTCAAGGACCTAGAAATAGAAATTCCATTTGACCCAGCAATCCCATTACTGGGTATATATCCAAAGGATTACAAATCGTTCTACTATAAGGACACGTGTACACGAATGTTCATTGCAGCACTGTTTACAATAGCAAAGACCTGGAACCAACCCAAATGCCCTTCGACGATAGACTGGATAGGGAAAATGTGGCACATATACACCATGGAATATTATGCAGCCATCAAAAACGATGAGTTTGGGTCCTTTGTAGGGACATGGATGAACCTGGAAACCATCATTCTCAGCAAACTGACAGAAGAGCAGAAGATCAAACACCGCATGTTCTCACTCATAGGCGGGTGTTGAACAATGAGAACACATGGACACAGGGAGGGGAGCACTACACACTGGGGCCAGTTGGGGGGAAATAGGGGAGGGACGGTGGGGGGTGGGAAGCTGGGGAGAGATAGCAAGGGGAGAAATGCCAGAAGTAGGTGATGGGGAGGAAGACAGCAAATCACACTGCCACGTGTGTTCCTATGCAACAATTTTGCATGTTCTTCACATGTACCCCAAAACCTAAAATGCAATAAAATAAATAAATGGGAAAAAAAAAAAAAATCTTGGGGATAATTCGTGACATTGCACACACAAAGGATAAAATGTTGGAAGCTGATCTAAACTTAAAAAGGAATATGGCAATTCACCAAGGCATAGAAAAGATATTAGCTCCCCATCATAAGTTATATAGAAAGAAGGCAAGCTTGGTTCCAACCACCCTTGGTAGGATTTACAAATAAATAAAACACTTTAATTCTCAATATTTCTGTTCTAAGTAATAATATACTAAATAAGTAGTTTTACAGATTTTTAATTTTCCTACACATTTAAGACAAATAATTTTTTTAATGTTTTGACAAAAATTTTACAGGTCATGAAAGAAGACTATTTTTTCCATTGATAATTAACATTGCTTTGTGCAATGTCAGTTTGAAAGGTCGTTTTTACAATCCCACACTTCTGCAAAGCAATGATTGCTGGTAGATAGATACATAGATAATAAATAGGTAGATAGGTAGATTGATAGATGATACATAGATAGATAGATAGATAGATAGAGCATATACCCAAAGAAATATAAATCATTCTATTATAAAGACACGTGTTAATTGCAGCACTATTCACAATAGCAAAGACAAGGAATAAACCTAAATGTCCATCAGCGATAGACTGGATAAAGAAAAGGTGATACATAAATGCCATGGAATACTATGCAGTCATAAAAAAGAACAAGATCATGTCCTTAACAAAAACATTAATGGAGATGGAGCCCACTATCCTTAGCAAACTAACACAGGAACAGAAAACCAAATACCATATGTTATTACTCACAAGTGGAGGCTAAATGATGAGAACACATGGACACGTAGAGAACAACATACAACGGGGCCCATCAGAGGGTTATCAGTGGGAGGAGGGGAAGGATCAGGAAAAATAGCAAATGAATATTAGGCTTAATACCTGAGTGATGAAGTAATCTGTACAACAAACTTTCATGACACAAATTTACCTATTTAACAGACCTGTACATATGCCCCTCAATTTAAAAGTTAAAACTAAAAGATAGGAGAGAGGGATGGAGGAAAGACAATGGTTAAAATTGAATCTAGATACAGTGGTAACTTTGCACCACTGTCTTTTTTTGTATGTGCTCCCAAGTACCAAAGTCAATAAAGGACCTCATAATTCACTGAGGATGTATGTATTTATACTGGATATCCAATTACCATATTTACAATCGTATAACATGCACACTTTGGGTATGGGTCATCTGGAAATCTATCTTTGAGTGCTGATTTACAAGAGACAGTTTTATGAGAGTTCTGCCAACGACTCCATTTATAAAACAGCAGGGGATGCTCCTTTGCAAGTGTACTTTATTCTATATAATACATGAAATCCTAATTTTATATACACTCTATTCTTCTAAATTATACAATATTTAAATGCACAAAGGGAAAATTCCAGAAACAAAGAATATCACTATTGCTTCTATAAAATAAAAAAACCCACATATATACATTTATGTAGGTTTTTATATATAAGATTTTACATATAAATATATATAATCAATTTCATTTAAATTTCCCATGAATCTACAACTTTTTATAAGGATGAGTAAAAATGGCATTGTCTTAATGAGTTGTTCTTAGTTTGTAAAAGAGTTTCCATGACTAAGAGTATGAAAATAATATTAATTGGTTCTTAGAGATTATCAAATTACAGTGTGAAAGCCAATTCATTTAAAAAGGTAGAAAACAGTTATATATATGCTGAAGATGAAAGAATGTCATTAGTTTAACAATTTACAAAACGAACCCTTGACCATTAGTTACTTTTCCACATAAATTTTACGTTTATTTTGCAGGGTTTCGCCACTACTGAGAAACTGTCTTGGTGGTTTCTCAAAGGTTTCTATCATAAGATAGAGTTAGAGTTGCTACTGGAAAGCCTCACATCTAGATTGGCTGTATAACTTGTTCTCACCTATAGATTATGAGGGAATAATTTCATCACTTTCAGGCCAAGATGGTTAAGAAGCCAGTGCCCTCTCTTTCCCCTTCCAGCAGCTGGCAACAGGACTCCAAGGAGTTAGGACATAGCAGAATCACAGGATGGGAGGAGCCTAGACCTTCACCACATAGAGAAAAGCTTCCTGGGAACAGGGAATATCTACATTAGAAGGTTAATGAGTGACCAATATTCACTGGAACTGAAATGTTGGCTTTTGCTGATCACTGTGCCTAGTAGTACCCTACATGAGAATACTGTTTTCTAGACAACATGATCACAGAATTTCTCAACCAATGCTGCCCAATAGAACTTTCTGCAGTGATGGAAATATTTCTGACAATCCAACATGGCAGCCATGAGCCACAGAGAACTATGGAAGGAATTAAATTTTTATTTACTTAATTTTAATTAATTTATACTTAAATTTAAATAACTGCATGTGGCTAGTGACTACCATAATCAGAAGCTCAATTCTCAACTTGGGTAGTATCTTCCCAACTTTCCGTGGTATAGAGAAAATCTAAGACTTTTTTTTAGCATAACTTCCTACTTGCCTACAGCCTGTTGTGCTAAGCCTTAAAAAGTTTGACAGAATTAGGGGTGAATTTTGGTGAACTAAATTTGTTTTTCCAAAATTAAAGAAGATGGCTAACAATGATCTACATCTATTATCTCTAAAACATATATTATGTTTTCTTCAGAAGCATATTTAAAGGTAACTTTTATGGTTGATTACCAGTGGGTATAGGGCAGGGGGTTCATCAGGAAAGTCTGGAGCCGGGTGTCCAATCTTTTGGCTTCCCTGGGCCACTGGAAGAAGAATTGTCTTGGGCCATGCATAAAATGCACTAGCAGTAATGAGAGCTGATGAACTAATAATAATAACAATAATCACAAATCTTATAATATGTTAAGAAAGTTTATGAATTTATGTTGGGCCACATTCAAAGCCATCCTTGGCCACATTGAGCCTGTAGGAAGCAGGTTGAACAAGCTAGGAGACTCTGGAGAACTGTATCTTTTGCTACCCAGGGCCAACTCCTGCCCATTGGGTAAATATTACAATCTATATACTCTCTTCCTCTTCACTCATGTTGTCAGTAAAATTTCTTAAGCCATCAAATTGTCCAGAGCTACATAGGCATAGATTCTTATATAAATAAATATAGGTAGAATATGAATATGAACCACCACAGTGACTCATATGGCCAAAGTCTCTCTGATTGCTATGGTATTTCTATAACCAATACCCTAGGAATACCTATATAATCCTGAAGTATAAACCTGAAGTTCCTTCACAAACTCCTCAGAGTGAACACATTGCAGAAAATTGTGTTGTTCATGAAATTTGCCCTTCATTCTTCCTTACTGTTGGCTTGACCATCATCTTGACTCATTCCCTTCTTGGCCCCAAGGTCCAATGCAATTGAGAGCTTCATTGTATCCTTGCCTGAATGCTAGGACGTGAAACCGTTTCAGTATTCTGGCAAAGCCTAGTACCATAGAGTAAAGCAAATCAAATGTTCTCTAGAGACATGATCACAAAATAGCAGATTTTGAATCAATGGAGTCATGTAATAGGTAAATCCTGTGGATTTCAATGCTTCACATTTCTTACTGTTTTTCTTCTTTGTAGTTTCATTGGATGTGCAAAAACAATTAAGGAAATTAGTATTTATCACTGTTTATAAAAACACAGAACAAACAAATCTAAACTAATACTGTCCAAAAAAGGGACAGATGAGGCCCTTGTCAATTTTTAATTGGCAATGCAAAGAGTGTCACACTAACAAAACTTAATTAAATCATTAAATATTTAAAATGATTTTCTAACTCTAGTTTATTGAATGAATTCCCTTTTATATAATCAAAACTCTATTATGAAGTCTACCCATAAAGCAAAATCAAGTGTTAAACCAAACAATTTGATGTATCCATCTCAATCAAAAATCCCAGTTCATTTGTCCCACAGAAATCTAAATCACCTTGGAACACCATGTCACAAAGTATATTTTCCTCACATCAAAAAACATAAGATATCATTACAAATACATCACCCACAAAGTGATTCTACCTTATAAAATACAACTCATTCATTTTACATGTTTCTTCTCATTTCAGTATTAATGTAAAATAGCATTGCCCAATTTGCAGTGAATGTCAAATTTCTGGTAGAAGGTATAACAGATATTTACTAAGTTCAT